TCGCTCGGGTTTCGGTGCCGGCATGAGATACGCAGCACACTTACGATTTCTTATACTAGAGATCCTTGCTATGACATAGACTGAAAAACCAAAGCCTCGTCAACGAACCCTTATACCGCTGGGAACTGAATAATTCTGCCAGTTTACTCCGATTTCTACGTCAGCGGTTTCCCTACCCAACTCCCGGCTCGTCTGGCAATGCTGCGGCACGTCAGCCGACTACAGTACACAAAACAATCCGCCGATAGCTTCTGGCGCGGGGTTCGGGGCCGGCATGAGCTATGCAGAACGCTTACAATTTCTTCTGCTACAGGTTGGGGTGGTTTACTGTAAAATTTATGCTCACTCGTTAAAACGCCAGCCGGCACAGTACTCCAGTGTTCTAGAAAGCACGTGTATGTGAGCATGTAAAGCCCGGTGAAATCCGTACTCTGTGTTTGCAGAAACAATATTAACGCTTTCTGGGGGACGTGGAGCTTAATCTCGCGGACATCTCCCCGCAGAAAAATTACAAATTTTATGAAATCAAGTAAATTACCACCAAAATCGGACAAAGGGTAAGGATTTCTCTTAAGCGATAACTCAGAAATATGTAAGGAATAACTCTCACTTGACTAAACTATTGAAACCTTGACTGAAAAATGAAAATCAATGGAAACGGAGATAGAATTTCCTAAAACCCTTAATATCGAAACGGACAAAATTGGTGCAAACTCAACGGGACTATCGGGCCAAATTGCCTAAGTTTGGTCCAGGTATTAGAGACCAACCAAGTGAGTCATGGTCTTAGTCCAAACAAAAAAAAAGGATCGAACTTTGCAGAAATAACCTCGGTGTGAGCGTAGGGACGAACGAAATTGAACGGGCGCATAGATTAGGCCTTCCAAATGAAGGAAGACCAAATAATTGTGCTGCGTGTATGTTTATACGCACGGAAATTAGTCGGCCTCAATGTGTGTCTGGTGTCTCACCTGTAGATGCTAAATTAAGCCAGTGCAGTACAACCGCTAGCCTGGGCGTTTTCAACGTGCACCACCCAGTAGTGATACATGGCCGCACGAAGTTACGATGCCCATCCAGATTGAAACGTACAGTACAAGACGTACTATCCGCTTTTCAGTAGGTGAATAGTTTTTCAAAGCATATCAGATATGAACGCAGGCAGCTGCTAGAATATGAAAAATCTCAGGAAGGAGAGTTTAAATTTCGTGTCAATAAGCTACACAAATGGTAACAAGATTTACCTTGACGATAACGCCGAAGGTTGCGTCAAAGAAAAACAACCTTAGGAATCGCTGTTTCATCCTGGGCGCAAGTTAAGCGCAGCGCGTGAACTATCATCGGGATTGTTAACTGCCGTAGTGTAAAAAAATTAGGTGGCTGACCTTGCCGTTCTCGTCACTTTAGGTAAACCCAGTGTCGTCATAGGGTCGCAATCCCGGCTAGACAAACCTGTTTGCAATGCTGAAGTGTTTCCCTCTTTTTGCATCGCGCAGTGTGAAAAAAATAAATGTAACCGCTGGTCGACTGTTTGTGCAGGTGCACGGCAATCTGCAAAGTTTTGAGGTGAAGGCTAGTGGCTTTAATTGTGACCTAATGTGGCGTAATGTTTCTTCCTAGAAGGGAAAAGTTATTAGTGTTCTCTTTTTATAGACCGCCTTGTTCTAGTGAAAGTGGAATGTTTTAACTTTTAATATTTTGTCAAGCATAGACCCTAGCGACTCAGTGCTAAGTGGTGACTTTTTTAACTTTCAGGGTCATGAACTGGGCAGATAGCTAACCCGTTGCAGAAACCACGTCTCCTCCTTACAAAACATACCTGAATTTTATGTTAAGCTTTGAACTATATCAGCATCTATCATTCCCGACTAGAATAGGTGGAACGAGTGCGAGCACACCAGACATTATTATTTTTTTTTTTTTACTAACAGGTGCGATTTGATATTATCAGTCTCTGGCATTCAGGGGCTTAGCGATTATCAGGTTGCAGTTGGATGCAAAACCAACATATGAGAAACCAGGGAAACATCCGCACCCCCCCCCAAAAAAAAAAAATATATATATATATATTTTTTTTACGTTCTAGGTATTTATGAGAGTGTTTTGAGTAATCGATGTAACTGCTTCAATGAGTTTATGTAGCTGAGCTACAAATTTGATATAAAAACTCTTTGGAACTTTTTTTTAAGAAGTGAGGTTAACTTTTTGTTTGATGCATATGTTCTTTTAAATATTGTTGCTTTCAATCGATGTAAAGACAAGTCACGGATAAAGAGCGAGTTACATACCTTTGCTAAAAAGAAAACGGCGCACGTACCTCGAATATCGTAAAGCTGATAGATGCGCGCTTGAAACATCAAATGCTTGAAGTAAACAATTACAAATAAATCTAAAGAACCTACAACAAAATGCTACGCGTCTCTGAAGACGGAATCGAGAAGGAATACAAAATAACTCGAAATATTGTGAGACAAACAACACCGTCCTACTCGGTATACCCCCATTCGCGACTGCAGTCAACTTGTCACCAATGAGAAACAAAGCAACATTTTTTTTAAACTTCCTATTCGTTTATTTTTTTAAGTTTTCAATGAACAATTACATCCCCATACTGTCTTATTGGGTAAAATGAAAAATAAATCTAATTGTTTTATGATAGAATTGTTAGTTTATTAAGTGAATTGAAATAGACAAAGGAAGGGGGCCTGATGGCATACCTAACCAGGTACCTGCAGAATGTTCGGGTGCTATAGGATCCTATTTGGAGGTTCTGCCCACAAAGTCGCTTTCTAGCGGTAGGCTTCCCCGCGAGTGAAAGACAGCAAATGTAGAACCCATTTACAAAGATGGCTCTAACACCGATGTTAAAAACTATAGACTAATTTCCGTTCTTCATACGTGGTCTAAGGTAATGAAACACATTATCTCTAGTAATATGATCGTTCATTTGCAAAAGAAACAATTATCCCACTCCCTCACAACACAGTTTCAGAAAGAAGTTATCCTGTGAGACGAAGCTGGTTGAGTTTTACCACGACATTACATCTTTCTGATAGCAGGCGTCAAGTGAATTGTATGTTTCTGGAATGTGAGGAGGCATTCGACATGGTACCTTGTGCATGTATTGTTCATAAACACTCATCATTAAGAATTCCAATTTATTTGCACAGTGTAGCAAACCAGCACAAGGCGCTGGATGACATCACTGTTTTAATAAACGCCTACTTCTCTCTCTCAATTTATTTGATTGTATAGCTTACCAATTATTTATTTCAAAGAAAGCAATCAGATCTAGTCATTTGCGAGCGTTCAAATTATATGTCGGTCACTTTGGGAGTCTCACATGGTTCAGTTTTGGGCCCACTTTTGTTTTTAGTTTTCATATTAAATATTATGAATTCACTGAAATAAAAAAATGCGGCTATATGCTGATGATTGCGTTGTTTGCTTCAATATTCAAAACACGAAGAACTGTTAGGTTCTGCAAGATAATATTTCTCGCTTTTCCACTTGGTGTGACACGTAGAACATGAAAGTAAACATTGCTAAGTGCCATCATGTTCGTTTCACTCAAAAAACGTGTCGTTCACTTTGTTTTATAAACCATCAGCCGAAATCTATTAACACTACCTGAAGTAAATATCTTTACGCATATTTCACAGTAACTCTTTCTACAGCACCACTTTTTTAAAGTATGTTGAGTATTGATGTTTGAATTCGTCCCCTTTCATGTTTACGTTTTTTTTTTCTCTCCTCAATTAGCATTATAACGGAGACTTGCGTATGCTCATGTCAAATTACCCAGTATCTGTATTCAAGAAAATGCGTAAGCATCCCCTCCTCGATATAATGTCTTTTAGGCGTTGCGAGCTAACCCGAATAAATACATACTTAAATAGCGGCGGCCTCTGAATTGGCGTCAAACAGGTTAGATACGCAACCCAACACTTGCTTCGCCAACAGGAAGTTGTCGTGTGTCAGTGGCTCTGGACACTGGGCCGGGAGCGTCGTCTACAGCGAGTCGATCTAGCGCGGCTTTGAAAGACCGGCATATCAGACGCCGTATGCACGAACGCTTAGAATGGCAACCGGTTGAAAATGCCATAGGAGCCCGGCTTACATCACGCGTTCGTTGCCTTCCGTCGTGCTGTGACTGCTGCGCGCATGCATCGCACCTTCCTTTGTGCACCGATTGTATTGAAAGCCGACCGTGAGAGCGGGCAGACGCTGCAGACCGGAGGCACGGAGCTGACGTAGCCTAACCCGAACGTAACCGAACGAGCGGACGATGAGTGCAGTGTACGTGCGGAGGGCAGTGAGGGATTAAGTTATTTTTTCCGGGTCGCTGAGCAGTTTATCGTGCAAAAGGGACGGTGGTGTGGCGATTTTAGGTTCCGACTTAGGGCTTTTCTACCGTGTTTTTTAAAAAGTGCAACGTGGGGAAAAAAAAGGTCAAAATAAGGACTTAAAATAGATGGCTGATTTTCTTCAGCGTCTAATGATTCGACTAACCTTATACGAAAATCATGTTTTTGGCTATCAAAGGGTTGTTTTCTTATTTTTCCCCTGGAACATGCCGGTAAAATATCAAACTGCCGCTTACTCGAAGCGATGTTGTCAAAACAAAAGAGGACACAGCCGAAGGGGAAATCTCCGCTTTCTCGCGTTTTATTTGCGCACATCAGCCTATTGTGCTAAACTTTATTACCGTGGATTTTAGCACGAATGTGTAGGGGTTACTCTGTGAGCCCGTTGACCTGCGTGCTTTGAAATATGGGCAACTAGGGAGCATTCCTGAAATCATATCGCACCTTGAACTGAGTTTTTGTTGCACGGGATTCAGCACTAGTGAGTCTTATTCGGGGTCAGTGGATATTGGGTCAATAACATGCAAACGTGGCGATGCGACTAGAATATGGTTTCCAGGTATGAAAGCAGGCATTTTTGTCACCGGGTGTATAACGCATTGTCTCCGTTTCCGCCCTATTTTATGTTCGCAGCTGGAAGGCATCATCGATAACATTGCGTATCCCGACTGGCTCAAGAACAACACCTACCTCAACAATCGCTACGACCATGTGAGTGGCATTAAACAAAAAAGACACCTTCTGTGGAACACAGCTTTGGGTTTCAAACATAGCGAAGTTAAGCATGGTTCTATGTTAAAGCAAAATGTTGTAACTGAAGCAATTACACTTTTACAATGTTCATAAAGGTACGTACATACATACCACTCGGTACGACCCGAATTACAAAAGTGTTCCATGTTATTTTCAGGCGACAAGACAGAATGCTTGCGCGTTTTTTCATAGGAATGCACAAGAGCGTCGCAAAAGTAGACTGGTTGCTGTTTGCTTCAATTTGCATCCCGAAAGTCGCAAAGGCATAGCACCAGTAGAACATCTAGCGTAGATTGAATAACTCTATGCGAGTGAATAGCGTTCCTAGCGCCATCATAGTTGACGCCTCCAAGGGCAACGAACCGTTTTCCAACAACGCTTTTTTACTGCCAACTTTTGCGGAAAATTTTATGTTTACCATTAACACCACAATATAATCCTTTTCTACGTGAGGTAATGTGTGTACAAGGTTCCAATGTTTCCGCCACTTTTGTCCATAGGGTAGGCTGATAGTGTGTACATGTGTATATAATAAGGTCGGCTGGATCTCCTGGGAGTGGGGAGGGGGGGGGGGCGCAAGTCCATAGGCACAAGGCCATAGGGCCCGTGTTCACTGGGTAAGGCATAGAGAGAGTCATGTCCCCTACCTAAATTTTCTATCGCTGGGTAAATATTGCGCTGAAACTTGTTTTCTTTCAAGAAAACATTTTTTTTGCGAAATACGTGTCTAATTTAGGTACCTTAGGTACCAATTCTGCGCGAATGTATGTCTTCGAAAAGTGTATTTTGTTGAAGCATACATTCTCTGAATACTCTGTAGTACGACTGAGATATACACAAACGTCTAGATGAACGGGTTCATAGAATTAGCAACTCAGTCAAGCATCAAAATATTTTGTGTGCATAAAGAAAGAAGTATAAAAAGCATCAGCTTTAAGACTATCGTTTTGGAACCATTATTCTTAGGGACATTTTTTTCCTGGATTATTTATTTCAGCATTTTTGCACACCCATCATACCCGGAAAGTAGATCAGTTTTGGAAGGCGAATATTATGAATGAAATGTTTTACTTGAGAAATTTTACTTTCCTTCGAATATTTTGTTAAATATAGTTGTAATCACACTTTAATTTGTTTTGAAATTGGTACTTGAAGACAAGTTGTATTAAAGTTGTAATCGCACTCAATTTTTTTTTAAATCAATTGAAAAAATTGCATTACAGTTACTAATATTCTTTTTGGAGTTCTAAAAAGGCTTAATATTATTCTTCAGAGTTTCCGAAAGAAGAGAAGTGGCAAAGCGTCTTCCAGACATTTTTCTTCTTAGTGCACGAAAACTGGCTTTCAGTGAATGCATTTTCTTTAATTTGAATTGCAGATATAGAAACAATGCAGTGATTTTATTAGTGATGTAAAAAATAAAGAAATAAAACTGTTATTTGGGTGATGACTTTTTTCTATTATTTTCTATAACTACCTGGTTATATAAGAATTCGTTCGTTCGTTTATATTTTTATTTTATTTGTTTATTTTTCACTCACATCAACAGCTGATGCTTTGGTAAAAGTATACAAGAGATAGAGGAAAGTTTAGTCGGAAATAACTTAAAGGTGACAAAATTTCGCTTAAACGCGAGGATATGTGGGTTACAGGAATAATTGCTATAATTTTATTTAAACAAAATTATGTATTGGTTGTATGCCCAATTAATTTGGTTAACGAGAATTATAAAAAAAAAGATGCTAAATTTAAAAGGCTGCCTATTCAATTCTCAAGCGATTGCAAAAGCGAGGAACGCATTCACTTGCAGAAAACGTAGCTCAAATCACCAGCATTCCGTTTCGTCCAACAAATGAAATAGTCGGCTAATAGCAATTTTCTCTTATTGTAAGGTATTCTGGTGCAGTAGTTACTCCTATTGTAATTAGCAATTTTAGGCGCTAGGTAATCAAACTAATAAAATTGCATTTAAAAAGGGATTTTTTTTTTTTATTATAACGCCTCGTGACATCACTCAAAGTGGGCTAGAGCACGGTATTACCTGTATGGTGTCATGACGACAACATTCAGGCTTTCACTTGTGTTGACTAAAAGGAGCCGTATTCGTCCAGATCATAATTTCTGGAATCCTTTCATTTGTAGACGAAGCTTATCTCAGAGCAAGCCGTAACTAACCTCTGCTAGCGAGAGTTCATGGCGCTTCTACGTAGCTAAGTTCTTATCCAAGGCGTATCAGGGAAGCATAATGCTTCACATAGGTCCCCAGTGGCGCGGCCCGGAGTAGTTCGTAAGATCGACTAATGAAAACGTTTTTGTCGCATATAAAATTATGAAATCTAGCCCCTTCGTTTCGCTTTGAATGGCTGTATTTTCGTCGTCTCCAGGTTGACAAGGTTGTTCCCGAGAAGCCGTTCCTGGACATGTACATGAACTTTCGCCAGAACAATATATTCAAGAGGCTTAAGAAGCTCCGGGAGTTCAGCAACAGAAGTGAGGAGTAAGCCCTTTTTTCCTTGTTTTCGTTCATTTGTTTTTCAGACGTATAATATCTGCGATAGCCCATTGTCAAAGGCCTGTTTCAAACAGTGGCAGTCATAAATATGTGTTCACTTGAGCTCCATTGAATCATACGCATTTTCCCACCATATGAGAGCCATTCGACGATGCATTAAGCAGTGCAGTATTCACTTTGGTCAGGAACACTATGCTTGGGCAGAGAGAATAAATGAACCTTTCCTCTGTTCTCGCTTTAAACAAAAGTGCCAACGTGTGCTGGCAACATCGCATACGGGGTCTAAGCACATGGGTCTTTCATGTCGTTGGAGACTGTGCGTTATTAAAACGCAGTGTTCGAGTACAATGAGCGACTATGGTGGCAACTCACGGATCTGGACGATGAATGGATGGTAGGATACATACGAATGAGCCCTCTAAATCGGGCGGTGACTTGAGTCACCGAGCAGGCGCCTTTCAAAACCCTTCGCACGCCCTGTGCGTCGAAAGAAGCTCCTTTACATTGCGATAAGACACTCGCCTCTTTTATGGCATTTCTAAGAGAGCTAACGAAGTCTGCGATAGTACCTATACCCAGAAGTCTATTAAACTCTTCGTGCACCTTGCTCACGTAGACTTTAGAACTTAGAAGTAAGTGGTCCTTCTATGTGACGATTAGTCTGATCTGTTCAGTCTTGAACAGGATTGTCAGGTTGACTTTTGAAAAAAAAAATTCCTTGTCTTATAAAATTTGCGCTGACAACGTTCTTGCATTACCAAACCTCGGGTGATTTCGTCCTGTGCAATATGTTATAATATAGATAACTTGAACCGTTAAAATATTGATTGACACACTGTTTTTGTGTTTGCAATGCGAAAATGATAGACAAGAATTGCACTTCTTTACATGCACGTCTTCATCATCACTGTAAGGCTGTGATTTGGCCTGCATGTGTGAAGACATATCTAACCAATCAACTAAATTTCTGACAACTGTCTGATAGCCTTTAGATTTGTGGGCCCGCTTTTTAATTTAGTAAGTGTTATAACTATCAGTCTAATCGATAGCCTGCTCACTTAAAAGAAGTTGATGATCTTAAACGAATTATGGATAATCTGTTGCTATTTTTTCTTACTAGCTTAATCTAATTCTACAAGTTTATAAAAGAGATACATGAAATTGCTTTAAATATTATATATTTGTGTAAATGTACTCAGTATAAAACAATTGACACTACACTCCGTATGTTATTTTACAGGATGCATACTCTAAATAAAATTACTCCTCGAATTTCACTTCAACTGCTTTTGCGCAACAAAAGACCCAATAAACAAATCAATCTTTCTCTTCAGGGCTGTTTACCTCCGCACCACAGATGTAAGAATGCGTGGAACTACTCCGGGGGTCGAGCTTGCGGCGCTTCCTCTGTAGCTACAGTTCATCCATACCACTCACAGAACGCCATCTGGCTTTCTCCTGCCTCCCACCCTTAAAAAAGTAGGCTAAAATAAGGAACGTAAGAAGAAACAATAACCAAGTGCCATGCGACATCTTCTGACCAAGACGAAAGAAAAAGTGTGTAAATAACTAAGAAAGGTGGCCGAAGTAAAGGTTTGACACGCTTCATGCCCTTGCTCTGAACTTGAATATTTTAAATACAAAGCAATACCTTGAAACTTTTTCAAGGCACTGGTTAAAATATCCAGTTTTTATTAAGTACTCTAGTTCCAACCAACCAACAAGACTTCAATCAAAGACTTCTACGTTCCAGTCATTTCGCATTGACTTCCAACAGGAGACAGCCCATATAGCGAAGCTGTTTGTAAGCATCACCCGCAGCGTCTCTACCTACAAGACCCACCTGAAATTTATGAGAAACTGTTGGTACTTGCACGTGTTTCCTTGTAATTTCGTCTCAAGTGCCTCGTCCGCACTCAGAAATGCCAGAAAATCCTGTCAACGGCGGATCATCGTTTGCTAAGCGTCCGCATTCCCGAATGCCAGGCCAAAACAGAGAAAAAAAAAACAACTGAACTTGTTCAGCTGGAATACTGCGTCCCGGATATATTTCCCTCTCAGCAGTATTTCGCCACAAGCGTCGCCTTCACTGCTGTGGAAAACCGACAGCTATATCAGTAAAGGAAGCTGTTGACGCTAAAAGAATGCGACTCAAGACAAGGTACAAATGCCACCTGTTTTGTCACGAACTTGTCCGCAACTCAACTCTCTGCGTGAGAAACTGGGGTCTTTGCAAAAGGCCACTGCTTCAACACGACCACTACGCGGTCGCCTTTGCCAAAAATGATCAGGAGGACGGCGTTGCCCGACGTAGTCAGATATCATGTTTTCTTCAGAGAAAGGAAAGTCGACCGTGGTATTGGATCGGGAAATGTTCGAGCAAGCGTATAAAAATACCCAACGAGTATAAAAATACCCAATGACAGAAGTTCAGAGGAACTTGAACGAGATGATGGAAGAAATTTTGAAGCGTTACCCAGAGTCTAAGGTGATTTCCAAGCGCCTCATCTGCAGAAATGGCACTGCGTCATTCACATTTCCAGCATTCACAAGCATAACGTTCTCCTGCAACCTATTGTCAGCTTCAGTACCTCGCCACTTCGAGACCTGTCAAGTTACCTTGACCATACACTAGCTTCTCTTGGTGAAAAAAGGTCAATCTATGTGCATAACAACGGCCATTTCATAGAGCGCGATTCGGAATTGAAACTTGATGTTGATGACAACATGGTATCCTTCGACGTTGTGTCAGTTTTCACTAGCCTCCCTGTTCCACCAGTGGTCACCGCGACTTGTGAAGCCCTCGAAAAGGACACCGTGGCCTCGAGGACCATCCTCAGTTTGGATGAGCTATGCCACCTCCTCGAACTTTTTATTGGCAGGACGTACTTCAGCGTCAACTGCGAGCTTTTTAGGCAAACCAGCAGTACAGCAATGGGTGCTTCCATATCTTTCACGGCGGCCAACCTCAATGAAAAAATCGAACAGCGGGCGCTGCGGCCTTTTGACAGCAGCCCCAAATTATTCATGCGCCACGTGGATGATTGTTTGTGCATCCTTCCGAAATCCAACGTTAGCAATTTTCTGGTGCACCTGAGCTCCATCGAGCCATCCATTCAATTCACCGTAGAATGCAAGAGGTATGGCACCTTGTTGTTCCTAGATGGGCTGGTGCAAAGTTGAAGGTATGACCTGAAGTTTACTATATAAAGGAAGTCAACAGACACCGGGTGCTAACTACAGTTTGGGTCGAACCACCCAACCAGTCACAAGGCGTTCGTGGTCTCGACACTTTTGACCAAGGCAATGACCATCTACTCGTCGGAGACCAACAGGCGAAAGGAAAGACGGACAATCGATACCGCCTTCAAGAAAAACGGATATTTAACTAGCTTTCTTGAACGCATCGCCTGCCGCCAAGGTCGAGCCCGCCAAAACCAGGAGCCCCACCCCATTGCGCGCGTCAGCGTCTCCTACGTAAAGGGTACCAGCGAAGCGCTGGCGCATGTACTGGTAAAACAAGTCCTTCAAGTGGCTCACAAACAAATGCCCACACTGGCGCAATTCATGCCGCGACCAAAAGATCGGGTCCGATATCAAGAGGCATAGGGCGTAATCTATCAGATTCTGTGAGCAGTATGGCCGCCACCTACATCGTCGTGACAAATATCTTTTCAGAGCGAATCCTCTAGTACAAGAACGACGGTGAAAATGAACCCTTTGCAAGGAAGCTTCTGCGCATGCGTACACTCTCCCCCTAGGCCTATCTTCCCGCTGTCACCATTTTCACAAGGCACCGCGCCCCCCCCCCCCCCCCCCCCCCCGCATGTCTAAAATTGCCATCATCTATCTTCGCGCGTATTTAGTCTAGTCTGACGCTCCGTTATTTAGTACCAATAGTATGAGCCATAAAAAAAAAGCTGTAGAGCGATACAGTGGCACGATGACAATGTGTTCTGACAGCTGGAGGCGAGTTCGTCTGCGCTTCATTTGTAGTTCACAGATCAATGCCCAGGCGGCGCTTGTTACTGAAAGTAAGGTCAATTCGACAGCGAACGTGGTGCCATCGGCAAACACTCTGATGTCGTCGACCATGAGGTCGACTTTGCAAACGCACGCGTCGACACCTAGCCTCATGAAAAAAAAAAAAGACTTTCTGCAGTTGTGGCACATCCAACATACTCCAGGAAATTTACACAGGTCACTGCGTGTCTTGCTATTGCGTACGCGCAGGGTCAACGCCAACATTAAGAATAGTACAAAAAACGCCTCTGCAACAAAAAAAAAAAAGAAGAAGGTCCCCTTGGCAGGTGACGAGAGCTGATGTTCCAATGTGCTGCTTCTTAGTTCGACTCAGTCACCCCTGAAAAAACCAAGCAGGTTGCGGAACATTGGAGCACTTTTCCAAGGCATTGGTTTCTGTATTTCATTTTTCATTTTCATTTTCAGGATATAGGGTTAACTGCGCACTTCGTATTCTTGTGTGTCTTGTTTTTCTTTTGACGTGCACCCCGTACCTGTCCCTAAAAAGGACACTTCAGGTAATGATATAAACAAACAAACAGATAAATGAATAGATAAATAGGGATATTTCTAGATGGTCAAGGATTGGCAGCAAGAACAAAAACTGGCGGTTGTGACATGTTTAAAACTTGAATCGTTTAATTTTATATTCAGCATTTGTTCTCGCAAACTCCTTTGTGGGCTTCCTTCTTAGCTTCCGGTGCTCTTATGTCGGGTCCTGTACGCAAAAATTTCGGCATGTTCCCGTTTCACGATCTGTACGTTTGTGACACCCTGTGACCACCAGAGTAAAGCGCATTGAAAGAAGACGTACAGTGGTAATTACACTTTGCCATAACGCGCCAGTGTGTAGCAATTCTTTCGGTGATTGTGACATATATGTCAACTAATCTAGTCACGAGGGAAAACATAAAACACTGGTGCGTATTTGTCCATCTCCTGCCTATCCGGGGTTGCTGAGTGCGCTGCTAACCCAGTTGCCATAAAGTACAAAAGTAATTAAACATGGACATGTTTTAAATTTGACGCAGTATAAAAACAAATAATGTGCATACTAAAAAAAATCTAGATATAGGTGTAAAAAAGAGGCAACTACCACATTATTTATTGCCAGTGTCACTTTTTTAACTCCCTTGTTTTCAGGCTTTGTTCTTTAATAAAATTGCTCATCAGATCACCTTTGCAATAATGTTTAGTAATAAGAATTTTAATAATAATTTTAATAACATGTGAACCACGATAAAGTTTGGAGCACGTTTCACACCAATCTAGTTGGAAGCAAGCCATCAGAACATCTTCAATTTTTAAAAATTTTGTGCTACAGAGATGCACGTTTTAATGAGCGATAAAAACACAAGCTACATGAAAGCAAAAAAAAAAAAAAAAAACAGTCACTAGTTGCTATGCGCGTCTGGAGGAGCACACAGCCGGAATGCGGATGAAATCGCGGGTAGAGGGCGCATGCAGACTACTGCAAATTACTTTAGCTTCTTGCGTGCAGCGACTGAGACCCATGAGCGGGCAGGCAACCCCTTAAGTGTTTTGCGACTAGATTGCTCCGTGTGACTAGATTAGTCAGCGAGAATGCCATCAGGCCGGCGCTCACCAAAGAAAGTAACGTCTTGTGAGCTGTGACGAAGTCCGCATATCGAAAAGACTACCAAAGGAACAGTTGTTCCGGAACAAGAAGTATAGAATTTTTCTCCACCTTCAGCGTGTAATTTTGTTTGACCTCGTTTTGCGACGACAGTGGCCCTGTGCAATCTTAACGTACCTTTTTTTCGCAGGTGGCATTCGGGATCTGCGGTTGTGAATGCTTTCTACAGCCCCAACGCCAACTCCATCAGTGAGTCAATTTTTAAATGAGATTTTCTTCAGCATTTTTTTGTGAATAGTCATGCCCTAAGTTACAAGTCTCATCTCCAAAGACCGCCCGTCTAGTGGAACGCGTCTAAACGGTTTACCGACGGCGCACTATCGTTTATCCAAAGCGAATAAAAGAACCAGACTAACTTGCTTGATCTGAACGAACCTAAGAGTAAAAGAAATGCAGAGCTCTAAGTATGCATTAGATGAGTAGTTCTGAAGCATCGATGTTTCGCGGAGCCCTTGTGGATCAGCGGAGATGATGGAGGACCCCGTTCGTGGTCAAGGGAGGAGAAAAGTAAAGGTTAATTATAATAGTGATTTAATAAATGGATATAACTAAGGGCTAATGTGAAGTAGGCTTCTCTTATTGATATACACACGAGAAAACTCGTCCGAAATCTGAAACATTTCTTCTCCGTCTGAAAAAAATAAAACTTTTATTTCCGGGCTTTACTGTTGAGGCAGGGCTACGCGGACCTCTAGAATACCTTCGCGAACCCTAAAAGGTCCGCAGCCCCGCATTTGTGAACCACTTTGTTAGATAGTTACATGTAAACAGCAGGGTGCGTGGAAAATAGATGTCTTATAAATGTTATTTTGCATCTCGTATCCTAAGCTATGCTAGTGCTCTTCTTGCACGAAAAGAAGGTGCTGTTTAGGACGTGTCGAAGTCCATTGTGAGGCAGAAGGAAATGTCGCACTGGATTAATACTATACTTTTACCTTTGAGGAGGGGGACAGAAGGGACAGCGACACAAACCCAAAATTCAACGAAGCTGCTTTGCAGAGGCGTTTTTCAGGTCGTTTCTTGTGTCACGACTTTCGGGCAAACATAGAGTAGGCCAGAATGGCACGCCATCATTTACTGGAGGCGTGTAGCCAGCCTATACTACCGGGCACGAATGAAACCTGAACGGTAAAGCGTATGCCTTCGATACATTGCTGCGCTACCTGGAGGTCCCTGCTGGGAATTGATAAATTTGTGAAGTGAAAAGGATGAGCGTCCAACTAAATGATTCACTAAGAGATCGCGGCCTACTCCGCTCATTTGCACTAGAAAGCGCACCTGCAGCGCAAAATCCTCCCCGAGTGGTTTGGAAACTCGGCGTACTAGAGGTCGCATAGGCATCGTGCTGTTCACGCTGTCGCGCCTTCGCGCGGCGTCGAAGGAGAGGGCTGCCACCGACGCACCAAAATATCGGATTCGCCGGGACAGCAGATACGACTGTGTTGATGGGTTTCCTATTCGTTCCCTGTAGTACTTTAGGTTTCCTGCACAATTGAAGCACACACTGAGGTAGAATGAAAGCGTAAAGAAAGCAGTGTTTTCTGAATTCATTATTTACGAAGAAAACCCACACATTCAACCTCTCAGAGCAATATCGGTGAGTAAATAAACAAAAACCCTGATAATAATAAAAAAAAACTGCAAAACGTCAGAGTATGTATATATATATTGTATATATATAGGGTGGTTCAAGTCACCGGGCTCGATCTGAAATGGACCGTAAAAATGGACGCCTGCACGTAGCAATCTAATCTTTTCGTCAAAGGTGTATTTCACAGGTCGGTTTTTTATTGTAAAATTACAAAGTGTGGTTCTGTTGATGTAAAAAATAAGGCCAAGACACTTGTCAGGGTCCACGGCGAGCAGCAACGTAGACGACAGGGGTCCAGTAGCGGGGCATGTTTGACGTTCCTATTGATAGATGGCGCTACCTCCTAATTGCGACGGCTCGCGATTACCATGGTTTATTAAAATGAATATAATATTTTAGAAATGTACCCTCGGTTAAAAAATGAATGTGAACGATAAAAGCAAAACTTAAATTAAAAAAAAAACGCGTCTGCATAACGGCGGCACTTTTGCTGCCGACGGATTTCGTCTGCGTGTCGTCTGCCATCTTTCGCTGGTCGGCTGCGCCTTCAGACGCTGCTCCCGACGCCATCTATCAATACGAACGGCAAACACAGCCCGATACTGGACTTGGTCGTCTTGGCAACCGCCCACCGTAGACCCTGGCAGGTTTCAACTTTCTTGGCCCTATATTTTAGTAAAAGAGAACTACGCTCTGTAATTTTACAAAAAAAAAAAAAAAAGACCTGTGAAATGCATCTTTAACGAAAGGTTTAGGTGGCTACGTGCAGGCGTCAATTTTTACGGTCCATTCGAGATCGAGCCTGGTGACTTGAACCACTCTGTATATACACACATACACACACACACTCCCGAAACATGCCGTGAACGGGGATAGTGAACATCTGGATCGTATCACTACAGATGATGTTATGTTCCTTGTACAAGCCATTTCGTGGTCTCATCTTTTGTTGATGTGTATATACAAAAGGGAAATATCACTCCCTTCGCTCCCCGAGTTGCCCATCACGTGTTCATAACGTCACGCCTTTGCTCGGACCCGCGCTGACATAGACATCCGAGTGAGATGGGAGAGCTTTTAGCCCCTGGTTGCACAAGTAGTTCACCCCCCCCCCCCCCCCCCCCCCCCCTGTCGCGGGGGAGCTTTTCGCGATTGGTGGGATATTGTTCACGTGTCTGCATGCCAACTTCACAGATCAGTCTTCGCGCTGTGAGGTATACCGGCGCTGGCAAGGGGATTGCCTAACTTGTGGCTTGCGCAGGTCATCGGTTCGTTGTAACGTTTCGTTTACGTTTTCACGAAAGAGTCTTTGATGTTCAACATTGCCGATCTCAAGCAGCTCCTCATACAACTGGTTTTGGTTTCCGCGTTGTTTGTGTTGCATCCACCCTTTAACTCGGCATCTTTACTCCTTTTGTTTTCATTTTGCCAGAAAGCAATTGTCGTGTTTCTTTTCTTTTTTTATCTATTAGATCTGCCGCCACAATCGGGTACCGTCTTTTTTAGAACATCACATTTTTCTACTCTCGCGAGCCGGCACAGAGCCTTGTTCTCGGGAGTGCGAAAGCAAAATGCGTCTGACAACATTGACATCCCTTTCGGCTCCCCGCCGCCCGTCTGAATACTGGAGCGGGGAAGGTAGTCCCGCTGGTTCCGCCGATCACTGACGTCATTCACATCCCTCCACGAAAGCATCCCACGTATGAATACCCCTTAAAGCCTTCTGCGTTGATCCTCGGGATTTTTTTCCTGTCTTTTGAGACGTTGGGTCATTATTAATTTTAGTTCCGACTCAACAAATTTGTGTTTACCTTTTTTCTCGTTATAAAGGTATCGGTGCAACTTCTTTGCTGTAATGATTTTTTGTTTCTAGTGAGATTGAGGAAGGGAACAGTTTTCATAATGAGGGCACTCACTAACGACAGCTTTGTGTTGCAACGCGCATTACACTGATCGAGAAGTAAACACTTCAAGGGTGGAGTGATACCGTTAAGGCATAGGCTATCAATGGGCCTAATCATGAGCTTTGTCCTCTGCAGCATTTCCAGCCGGAGTTCTGCAGAGCCCGTTCTACGACTACGGGCTGCCTTCGTAAGTGCTTTGTTTTTACCTTTACAGGCCACAGTTTTTTTTAGATAATATAGCAAATCATGCTAACCTTACAGAATTAATTTTTGGACATTCCTTAAAGTCGCCCTGACCACTGTATCCTATAAAATGATCTAAAGTTGAGTGGTGACTCCGAAAACTCTTTATAAAAATGTTTTTATCAGCGATGTATAGACGAAGTCTTAATTTTATCAACATTTATTCTATGGAACTTCAATTCTTATTAACCAAAAGCAAATAACATTTACACCTTAGAGAACGGTACGCCTAATAAGGTCACTAATTATATGATTATAATGCAATCAAATGCAGAGATGCAACCGAGGTGGACTAGAATGACGAAAATAATCCCTGGAGAAGGGTATATTCGTTTAACCATTCTTGACACCAAATAATTTGTATGAACATAATGTATTCCAGTTTTCTATTTTCTTTTTGTAATGCAAACAGCTTTTATTTTTAAATGTTGGTGCACTGTTACGTGAATACTGTTTTCGTGATATGTTTCTTAAAAACGTCGAACATTAGGTAGCAGAATAAGCTTCATGATTAGAACAATACTTAAGTAAAATTTGTTAATTAACTTCTGAATTCATGGGTTGATGGGTCGCATTACAATCGCAGTATTGACGGTGATTGCTATAAGAGAACGGACATATGCAAAGAACTTGCGAGAAGGCAATGATTTTATTTGATAACCATAGCTCTAACGTTTTTTTTTTGCTTTTTTCAAATATAGATTAAAAAGCTCACTAAATATCTTAAGGGTGAAGGTAAGCTGGTGAATGTTAACCATGTTGCATTAACCTGAGATTGCGTCCTGTCTATTTTTTGTTCCTTCTGCGTTTTTATGTTACTTCTTATCTACCTCAGTCTCAGACTAATCTAACATAGCTTACTAAACACTGTCCACAATGAAGCTTAGAACAAAGACCTTGTTAAGATCGCTACATCGTTTTTAGTGTCATTTCTGGAATGGGCTTGAGGCGCCCTTTTTTCATCTAATTTTGGAACCTGGCGAAAAAACATGAAGACTAATCAAAGACTGATCGATATCTAAAAAAAAACATTGCCTCGGCGTAAAGTTTTTGAATTGGTCTAGTCTCTAATTATAATTACCTTGAAGAGTGCTATTACAAGGTGACCAATCAAAATAGAAATTAACATGTTATTTAAAATATCTCATTTAATTTTCGTGCAGATTCAGGTGGCTATCTTAATATATAATGTTCTAACAGTCCCATAAACGCACAATGAAGACGGCTCCACGTAACTTACATCCCATTTTTGAGAAAAAACAACAACACATTGCTAATAAAACAAAAAAACAAAAAAACAGTGTGAATAACTGCTTCATAAGTAATACCAAAGCAACCTAGGTGGTGTCATTGAAGAAATGGTAGAGCTGACAAATGGATATCGGGTGTTACGCAGCTTTCCAAACAAATGTCCTAATGCCAGCTTACTCGAAATCATATGTGACACTTTTTATTTTAGGATAGCTTGAAAGTGGGCACTGACAAAACTTCGGCACGAGTGCAGTAGAATGTGAAAAATTGTGCTCTGGGTCTTTATTGTTCCTGGCAACAATCTGTTATTAGTCATTTGTTCGTGACATAAAACCGCCGCATGTGGTGTCTGTTCTCCAGAGGGAGTTTCTTTTTTTCCCGGTCAGCTCGTAATAATAATAATATATTTATTAACCATCAAAGCAACGTTACTAAAACACTCAGTTGGAAAACTGCCATAGAGACTGCTCTCAAAAAGTGCCCCCGATCTCTCCTCGAGCACCGAGCTAATGGCGAACACAACGCCGCCATTTCTCCCGCAGCGGCCACTCGAGGAACTGCACATGACGTCTATTTCGGCTTTAATCGGCCATTTTGGGCCGAAACAGATACACCGGAAGGGGTTACAGGGGTGCCACCCCCGTCTCCCCAGCGGACGCGCCGCGTCGTACTACTGAAGTTAAAATGCACCTAGGTCGGGACGCGCTACCTGAAAGCACCGCTGAGGCACGGTTGTATAAAAACAATATTAATTGTGCCGCAAAGCCTTGCAAACTAAAGTTTTTAAAAACATCACGCGTCCTTCATTTTGTATTAAACTCCAATAAATGTCATACAATAGGAGTCTTTTCTGTTTGTTTTACGCAAAAACATGCTTTCTAAAAGCTCAAGGTGACCACAGTACAGACAAATGACAAAGAGTGGCGCTGTTGTCGTATTTAGCTCGGCCTCGGTGGACGCCAGCGGCCCAGGTTTCGACAGCGAGTTTCCCAACTGAGAGTTCTAGTGACGTTGCATCAAAGCGATGGCGGAGTTTGGAGAAAAACAACAACTGAAAAATCAGCGCGACGAGCATCTTTCCCCCAAGAAATTGTACGTTTAGCGATCAAAAGAGCAGTTAGAACACTACGCAGGTTGCGCATTTGACACTGTACAAACAAAAGCTATATATAGAAGACCTAGATATAGAAGACGATGAAACTGAAATCAATATGCAACACTTTGTAACTATAAGCTCTCGAACAAGTTCAAAAGCTTATTTTAAATAATAACATAGTGCTATTTGGTTCAATTGGAAAAAAAAATTTGAATATATATACATCTTTTTTACAAGAAAAACGATTTAAGCAATATATTGTGTGCCATAGATTTATTAGCGAAAAGTTTGAAGCCTCCTAGCTTATACATTATATTCTGTCGCTAGGTCGGTCAACATGGGAGCCATCGGTATGATCATCGGCCACGAGATCACACATGGCTTCGACGACACAGGTGTGTTCGCTGTGTGGCTTCCTCATCTTTTTGGCGTGCGGTGGCGGGTATGAGTGAGCGATGTTTTTTTTAAGTTATAATGTCAAAAAAGAGGTAGTATTGACGTGTACTGTTATGGATTTCTTGAGAGCATCCATAGATAGAAGCTTCTGAGCCGACTATTTAATTTAGTTTTCCTTTATTCTGGTCGCTTCGCGACAGAATAGTCGTCACCTCTGAAGTAACCGTGTTGACCTCGACACAAAGGTGTACTCCTCAAGAACGTTGGCTTCCTCTAGGTTTTGTAGATATTAACTTGACATATCGGTGAGATATGAGAATGTCAGTAGTGGAGACCCTGCCATGAAGAATATGAAAGTCATCTATTGACGGTGCTTAAATTTTGAGTTCAATCCCAACGCATACTTCTTTTTATATAATTGATAACTGTACTGGGCGTGCGCTATTGTAATATTTTAGAAATTAAACAGCGCAAATATGTCATATAAACAGCGCGAGCTTCAAATTTAGCTTTTGTAATCACTACTGCGGGATGCACGCTAAAGACGAACCTCAGGCTCGAATTATACAGGGTGCTGCTCGAGACGCGGGCCAAATGATTCATACGAAAAGCTTGTATTGTGTTGAAAAAAAAATTAATGTCACAGTGGTCATTGCCGAAAGTCTTATTCGCGAAAATTAATAACGGGCACTAAACTAAGTTTTTGTTTAAACTAATTTTGAATATTTAAGGGTGCGGTTTCAATTCGAATGTTTCTGGGTATCATCGAAAACCACTAAATCAACTAATTTACGCAAGGTCTAAGGCACGTAGAGCGTTTTGCGGCGTACAAAGTAGCACTCAATTTGGACGCGTTTCGGTTTCCTATCGGACCGCATCTTTGCTTCAAAGGTCCTGCCCCTCGTGACCAAAACGCGCAACCAGCTTGCTCCACTACGCATTCTTCGCATGACGAAAAAAAGCAGAAGTATCAAACCTTAACATTCCATAGTTATACAAACAGCACATCATTTCTTTTCGCCAACGAGCGCCGTAGTTTGTTCCCCCTTACAAGGGAGGCGATACGGTAGCTGCACGCTTTGACCGCGAGAGGCACGAGCCCTGGCGCAAAGATGGGCCCCGATGGGAAACCAAAACCTAGTAACGAATCCAAATTGAGTGTTTAGTAGCAATAGCTGTAATTGTCTTTGTTCCGAGCCCACAACTTCGGAGCTTTATGCATCCTCTCACACGTTATCTGCAAGCGTATTAAAAGTACAGGGAATGACAGTACCTTAACCTTTGCGTTATGCTTAGTTTGCAAGAAACTTCGTGTAAGCTGACAGCATCCCGAAGCCTCGCGCTCGGTATTGTTCCTCTTTCAAATCTTAGCCCAAGCCATGAGATTAACTCTACAGTTACCGGCACTTTGCGAATGACTGGCAGCTGCGAGCCCTGACTATTTAATTAATCATGGGAAACCTGTGCGATGAGAATATCGTTTAACATAAGGAGTCAGAAACAAGCTGCGAGCGGCCGAAGTAATAATTATTATTTTCGCGCCGTTATATTTTTTAAGTATTCAATGACCATGTTGTTGAACACGAGGGGTTCAGCGGTAGTTAATAAACCTATGTATTCTAGAGCAAATAGAAGAAGAAAACTTAATCTGGATTTCCACTTTCTGCTGTTGAAAGCAGGAGCCCTGTATACATTTAGCTTTCGGACCTCGGACATTGGAACGGGAAAAATAGGGGATCGTGTAGAAGTGAAGGGAAGGAGACTTGTATAATTTTTTTTTTAGGCGGTCACGAATTTGGAATGTTTGACGGCCTAGCTCAATCAAAAATGACACTGACGGGGCTCAATAAAAAACGGAATCGGGTACGATATGCCAGGATGGCGTCGGAGCTACATATCCAGTGCTTCACAAATATCGGCTAGATCAGAAGGGTATCGGCACAATCTTTCCAATATGACGTCGATAACGGTGCAATACTGTCTGCTGCCTTGGGATGAAATTATTATGTCGTGCCTGCTTTGTTCTGTGCTGCCCGAGTCGCCCTATATTAATAGGGCGACTCGGTTTCTGGTTTTAACCGAAAAAGACCGCCAAACATCCACCGGTGTTGAAAAGGAAAAATCGGCTAAAACCGGAAAACACCGATTTTTGGATAATAGGGAGTTGTAATAGATGGCTTTTGCCGTCCCTCTACGCTGTCCGCAACCCGCTACGAGACCAAGACTCTACAGTCAAGGCCATCGGCGCGTAGGCGTAGCTTCTTCGTTGAGTACGGCTTAGCGGAGGGGGAAACGCGGTCTACGAAGACTATTTTCATACAAGCGGCAGTTTTTTTTTTCACCGAAAAAGTCATGTGTAAACGCTCCTGAAACTTGTTCATTTGTTTTTCCTTACGGTCGTCGTTTAAGTTTTCTAAGGTCTCTCAGTAATCGAGATGTGTTTTTTCTCTCAGTGCTCAATACTTTGACCATCAGGACCCCAAAAGTTTGTACTCATCGTCCCCTTCTGTAGATTTTCTACAGAAAGGGACGATTGAAGGTCGCCCTTTTTGCCCGTAGACTCGAGTTGGGGGTTTGAAGCGTGCCGCTACACGCTCAAAAACCCCCATAGTCTGTGGTTCGAAGCACGTCCGGAAGCTGCATTCGCCAGGCTGGCCAGTACTGCCCCACGCCTCTTTGGAAATTTGGGGACTCCCCGCGTCTAGCGCAAGCGTAGAACGCGCGCTCTCGAATTAGCGCGCAGTCAACGGGAAGGAGCGGGCGGGAAGGAGAGATGCGAGCCTTGGAATGTATCCATGCATACTTTAGAGTAATGAAGTGTGAAGAATATTCTGTATCAGATGCAAATGAACATTGAGCTGTTCCTCGTCATGGTTGTTCGTTTCTATTCGCGATTTTCTCCGACGATAAAAGCCATTTTAAGCGTCTGCGCGAGATAATTCACCGAAATGCACCGGAATTTTGGAAATAAATAAACACCGAAAAACATCCGCCGATTTTCGACAGAAATAAATGCCAGAGAATATACAGCCTACAGTTAGTCATCAATCACGTATTATATGAGATCTGTATTCTTCGCAAGTATTCTGCAAATATGTTTATGAATGTAGTCCTGCTTCCCTCTTAATCTGCACGGTCCTTCGTGTTTGATTTATAAGTCTTGTTTGGCATGAGAACGATGTAAATTCATTTATTCAATATTTTTATGTTCAACATACAGAGAAGTATCACTTGTGTAAATGTATCGAGAATAAACTGTGCGTAATGAGAGTGGCGTAATGAACTTTTGGGAGCAATTAAAAACACTTCCGCTTGTCCGTGAAGGCAATTTATATGCAAGGGTTGATATGCAACGGCCGATACAGGGCAGAGTCATACGACGTCCGGCCGATTCAGATTAGACGCTAATGCGATGTCCGGCAGATAGCCGTGCCACAGTCCTATTCATGCAGTACCCGCATGAGATCGCGCCGATACTAGGCAGGTTGCGAAAATGACGATACGCCAATACCTGTCGGATATCGGGCTGTTGTACAAAAAAGGGGACATTTCACCGATATTGGGACCGATTTTCAGCAGACTCTGGCACGACATTGGCCAAGCATCACCACACTGCTTGGGTCTGTTATCTCCACCAGTGCCTCGCCCGGGGATAAGCGGAATAATTGAAGGTGTCGGTGCCAAACAAAGACCTATTTGATAGAACGGGGTTGGCCAAGAAAAGTAGAGAAATAAAATATTTATAGATCGAGCATATATCAACATCACATAAAGAAAAGTTAAGACGGAATCTAGCATAGCAACGTGAATTCCGAATCGAACCACACCGTATTTGGAAAATAGAGCTATGTCAAAACTCGTTAATATAAAAAAAAAGCTTTAAATTATCTATATGAATGCTAGGCACATTATCAAGACTGCATTTTGATTTTTTTTAAATGTTGGATTCGTACCAATTTTGTGCGATAACTATAGCATATGGAAATAACTTTACCGGCATGCAAATTGTGCTCAAGATTTGTGTTTTATGATAATTTAAATATGCGTTTATTCTTCCTTTAAAACGAATCTAATGACAGATTCCTGCGACAACAGAATATGTCGATTAGAGTTTACTATTTAACATTCAATGCATACAAATCAAAGTGTCTAGTTTCCAATCCTTTCCAACAATAAAATCAAGTGATGAAGGTTCCTTTTCTACAACGGAGAATTCAAGGACCTCTGGTAACTCGGTACCTCAAGATTTTTCGGCCCCCAAGTTTTGCGTACATTTTACTGACAGATGTAACCTTGTGTTTTGTTTCTAAACATTTTTTTTCGGTTAACGTTCTAACACTTACGCCTCACATCAGAAACGGACTAGCGAGTCATCTTATTTACATACATCGACTTTGTTTTTCACAACACACATGTCCCAATCGATCAGTCCATCCAGCTGAAGACGCAAGATAAGTCAGTTCTTGGGGAGGTAGCGATAGCCAAAATTTAGTTGACCAGTTGGAACAGCTATCTACTAGATTGTCTACTGAACTGTCTACTAACAAACATTCTTGCACTCGGGCAAGCCCGAGTGTAACGATGCTTGTTCTTTCAATACTGGGTAACTGTAATGTGAAAATTAAAAAAAAAAAAAAAACATTATTCGGGAAGTAATATAATGCATGAAATGCAATTTTTAAGAATTGATTCTTAAGTTATATTTTTTTACAAGACATTAAAAGGACCGCGTCACAATGTTCGGTCTTCGGTCAAATAATTGCGGGAGCTGTTCCTTGTCACGTCTGGAGTAAAGAACTCTAAGCCAAGTTTGCCGACGAGCGTTCAATATATTTTTTTTTAATTTGTAAAATTTAGCTTCTTGGCGCCTCCCAACCACTCTAAACTTTTACACCGTCTTCCAAGCCACGTCCTTAGTGACGTCAAGCAGGGTGCACTGGGAAGACAGAGCATCAAGTTGGGTTCTTTTTCAAAAGGGTCGAAACTCGACAGAGGAATA